ATTATTGTATATATTGTTGTTGACAGGAACTGCTAGGACAGAACATTTTTGCAAACTCAAAACAAAAAACATAGGCTTAAAATTGCCTTATTTTATTGTCTCGGTGACCAGACAGGAAATTATGGGGAAATCTTCTCAAAGGGCAAAAATCTAATACAGCTTTTAACCTTTTTTAATATAGGTTCTAACTCTTCCCTAATCTGTCCAAAACTACCAGATTATTTGAGCTTTTTTTTTCTTTAGTTTCGCTCTGCACAAAACAATGAACAATAAAATAATACATTAGTAAGGGGGTTGGGCTTTTAACCAGGGGGACTACGGTATTTACTACGTTTTACATTTTGATAATGCTAAAAAGTATTTTTAATAGTTGATGGTGACAATAACTAAAAATGTTTCTGCCCTGCCTAGTTAAAAACAAATTAGGCTTAAAAAAAAAAACCTATTTGCAGGCATCTACACTGCTAGTACCGAGAATATAGTTTGCGACAATGAGATAATGTTTTTCATTTACATATGCACTTTTGAAGAAATGTTGTTGCATTAGACTTCAGGCCTTTCCTGCATATTATCATAGTTTCCATCCATGTGCCATCCATAAGAAATCTGCACAATGCTGAGATATAACAACATTTTATCACCATATACATTACCTAAGTATAAATGAATAAACATATAAGAGCTAATTTACACCACATTACCTTGCAATTCATTGCAGGGCTTTGCACAACACACCTGCTGGGTGTGTACACACTACAAAGGTGTTTCGATTCCTCCCATAGATCATGCTGGGAGGGAACACACTACAGAGGTGTATACACGTTCGTGGTGTGTTTAAAAGGTTAGTAAATCAACACCATAGTGTTATTGTATACAGCAAAGTGTAATTACATCAGTCTTCGGACTACACTCAATTGACACTAAACTCAGGAATTAAATCTTCAAAATGCATTCAAGTACCTTAACGATTAACAAATTGTAGTTTATTTGTGTATTACCAAGCTGTCACTGTCCTTCCTTTTGGAGGGTGGCTACTTTTGTTCCCTATGGTTCCTGTGTGTGTTGTAGCCACCACTCCAAACTCACTCCTGTGATGGACTACAACCTCAATACAAATTCGTAAACTAAGGTAAAATTGTTTTCCACGGGAGCAAGTTAGGAGCGGTGGCTACTTTACAACACACACAGGGACCATGGAAAACAAAAGTAGCCACCCTCCAAATGGAAGGACAGTGTCAGCATGGATTCAAAGATGATTTGAGGATCTACAGCTTAGTGAAACACAAAAAAACAACATTTGTGTTAATAGTTAAGGAATTTGAATGCATTTAGGTTTTAACTCCTGAGTTTAGTGTCACTTTAAGCCTAGAAAAGGCAAATTGGCATTTGGTTTTTGCACTTTGCTTATCACTCTTTTTTTGCACATACTTATTAATAAGCTGAATAGACTTCTCATTGTAGATGGGATCAGTGGGACTAACCGTTTATCCTGCTTTCATACCTTTACCTTTATTATGTTTAATGAATGTTGTTTAATTTTGTGAATATGTTTTAGTAAAAAGATAGCTAGTAACAGTGTTGATACTACATATACTAGCATCTAATTCCATTAATCTCTATAACCATTATCAATTGATCTAGTTCTAATACTTCAAACTTCTGCTATCCTTAAACTCTAATACATTTACACAAAGAAAACTAACTACACAGATTATTTTCTTTCCATGAACTTTCATAAAGTGAAATGTCCCCGTATACTGTCAGTGAGTGATTTCTCCTTTGATATAAAAACAATCCAGCTTTAAGTCAATAGAAGGTATGGGAGAACTATGTATAGCTTGCAGCATTATAGTAAGACTCACCTGGACTTTCACTTCTCTGATATCCGATTCTGTGAACTTGTTTCCTTCTCCACCCCAAATCCCAACTGTAAGTCTCTTTCTTGAGCTGCCTTTTTAAAGCCCGGTACACCTACAAGCCTCTGCAGTGTATGTGATAAGGGAGTGTGTCACTATCCTCATCAGACATACACACCCAAACATGGTTACTCATCACATACCATACCTTAGACACAGCACGCCAGCTGCACAGGTAAAGCTCTTTGCACAGGATAAAATAAAGCTACTACATCCCAGCCTTTCTGGCACTGTCACAGTTAATCATTATGAGCCTAACACTTATCTACAGGTATGAACAAAACTGTAACACTTAGGAGTTACCCAGAACTTCTGGGAGGAGGGCTGGCATGCTTCAAGTATTGCTTTACCATCTATAGAGTCTACAGTACTATGAAGTTAGTGACCTGGTGTGAATTTTCAGCTCTGGCTAAGACTTTTTTAACCCTTACATTTAAGACAAAATCTTTAAATGTAACATTTCTACACAAAAAAGGAATATCTATGCATATCTCTAAATTTAATCACAAATGCTGGAGCTATAGATTTATCAGATGGTGGACATGAGGAAACACAGGTTTCTGTAAACGGAGTGCAGATACCTATAGCAACCAAAAAGAAGTCAGGTTTTGGTAATATAACTGGCTTAGTGGTTAGCACTTCTGACGTGCAGCACTGGGAGGGTCACTGGTTCAAATCCCCATCAAGACAGTATCTTCAAGAAGTATGGATGTTCTCCCTGTACTTGTGTGGGTTTCCTCCGGGTACTCTGGTTTCCTCCCACACTCCAAAGACATGTTGGAAGGTTAATTGGCTCCTGTCTAAATCAGCCCTAGTATGTATGGAAGATAGGAACCTTAGATTGTAAGCCCCTGGAGGACAGGGACTGATGTGAATGTGCAGTAAGTAAAGTGCTGCGTAAAATTGTCAACGAAATAGAAATACCTGTAATAAATAAAAAATGCTAAGTTGATAATTGCTGAAATATAGTTCGTAGACTTCTACGAACTATACGAACTAGACTTCTGTCATTATTTAAATTTTGCACAGCTGTGCATTGCTCCACCAACACAGCCACTTCATCCAGGATGTGTGAATCAAGAGACTACAAGTCCCGTCTGCCACCAGAGCAGAGAGACATGTTGCTCTCAGTGGAGTACAACAAAAAGTAGAAGTAATGTCACTACACTTGTAATCAATTAAGAACTGCAAGTCCCTCTGCCTCAATACTTCCTCCTGTCCCATAACCGAAAGTCCATACCTCGGTACATACATGGGCGTAAAGGAAGAGTCTGCAGGAGCCAGAAGTTTTGTACCTGTGATTCTCTGATTACAGTTGCAGTACATTTATTATTTTATCTTTTTTTTTTTAAAAAAGCTGAATTATGCCTTTCATAATGAAAGTGTACACATTTATTTGCTAATATAGCAACTAAAAGAATACAATTAAAACAAAAATCGCAAACACATCTTAAAGTTGTGATAAGCTCTACTAGCAGTAAAACAGATAATCACTGACAACCACTGAGACCGCCTTGAAACTAGCTATTCAACGTTTTTTTTTAGAATATATAATATATACAATAAATATATACAATTAGGTAAAAACAATGTCAAAAAGAAAAAAATGGTAACTGCTAGAAAAAGGAAATCATTATGTTGGAATTGGAATTCTTAGCCAAAGCATGCAGGTCTTGCACACTAAAATGTTGATTCTTAAAAGATAATCTAAAAAAAAAAACAGACACAAAACTTTAAGTTAAATATATTTTCCAATATTTCCAATAAGCACAAAGGTTATGAATCCACATTGTAAGCACCATATACCTTTGCCAACCCTGCTATTGTGCTGCGCATAGCCTGTGCAGAGAGCAGAGTGGTGGAAGGGACCCAGCAGGCCCCACCTACTACAGAATGCGTGCAGAAAACGAATTACAGGGAGACTGAGACCAGTCACCCTGCACAAGTCAAGAGAGCGGTAGTGACAGGTCTTTATTACAGGAAGTTCTGGCAAAAAGTTTCTCACTGAATTACTGCACAGATCTAGAAGAAATACACCGGCCATACAGAGATTCAAGTAAGAATACACAGGTCTCTTATATTTAGACAATATTTACTTATCCAGAAGTGCAGCTTTAAAGAGAATCTATCACCAAGCTCTTTAACTAAGGAAGGTATATAGGTCATTATACTGCAGGTCATAATACAACTACCAAGGTGGATACCAGTTCAAGCAAAGGTTGTCACTTTTCTAAAACAAAATGACCTAATTATCTCTTATAATATACATTAATAATATTGACAATGAGTCCTATTTTTCTGCTGCTTGAGCCAACAACACCAAAATGGATAGATCGCCCAGTAGCTCTTATGCTTCAGCTGCTATTCTCACTGGTTCCCCACAGGCTTACCCACTCAAGGGTCCAGCACCAATCTAATCTGAGTTGAAAGAAAATTCCTGTGACTCCAGGGTTTTCTGGCTCCCCTACCCTGTCCTGGTCCCACACAGAATATCTTTATGTGGTGAAGCACAGTACTCTGTGGTATATAGGATCCTCCCAGCACCAGGGTGAGGTAAGGAGAACCTGTAACATCACTGGACTGGGCTGAAGGCACCTGGTATAAAAGCTAAGGTCCATCAATGTGGTTTTAAGTGGTCCTGAGCCCAGAATTGGGCTTTAAGTGGTTGTTAATTGTATGTCTTTTTTTCAGTTGAGTCAAGAGGGAGTAGTTTCTTTTCAATGTGTTGTGAAGTTCATTTCAAATTTTGATCAGGATTTTCAATTAACAAGGCTACTGTGGGCACAGACACATGAATGATTAGTATTACATTTCACTCATTTTAGCACTACTTTACACCTTGACTATGGCAGCCAAAGACCAAAGATGTAGGTCCTTCCAAGGGAAGGGTTTCATAGAAAATAATGAGCTGTATTAGGCAGAGCCATCTGTTTTTCCACATGATCCAGATGCAGCTTAGAATAATTGATCGTAACAGTACAGCTGGTGGCTGTAAGCATTGGGCCTGGCCCATTGGGTGCAGTTCTCATGTTTTGGGGTTTAAGGGTTCTTCCTTCTAAACAGTAATGTAGTCAAAGCATGTGTTTTTTTTAAGTAATGGTAAAGCTACCTTTTATTTCAACTGTACAAAACTCTGTGCCAGTGAAATTGTAAACACCAATGTTCTGGCAAGTTTAGATTCGCTTTCACAACTTGATTGTCTGGTCTATAAGGATTAATTAGCAAGCACCAGTATTTCAAGTCACAGTGCCCAGTGAGTTTACAATCTACAAGTGAGGGACAAGTGATAGAAAAGGTAGTAGATGTGTGGTAATAAGGTGTTTGAGAGAGTAATATTTCATTGGTTAGGTTGAGGAGGGATAGGCTTCCCTGAAGAGATGAGTTTTCAGGGATTGTCTAAAGGCAGATAGAGTTTGAAATAGCCAGACAGGTTGGAAAAGAGAGTTCCAGAGGATGGGAGAGACTCTAGAGAATTCCCGGAGGCAAGCATGGGAAGAGCTGATGAGGGAGCTAGAGAGCAGGAGGTTTTGGGAGGAGCAGAGAGGACAATTAGGGTATTACTTTAAGAGGAGGTTGGAAATATAGTCAGGGGCAGAGTTGTGGATTGCTTTGTAAGTGGTTGTTAGAATTTAAAATGCTTAAACAGCTTTGCGGTTTCATTGGTGAGGAAGGGCATATTTTGGAGATGTTACAAATGTGAAGGTGGTAAGATCTGGATAGTGATTGGATATTCGGTAAAAAGGTAATGCCTGCATAATAAAGCAATACGCAGTGCCTGAGAATTTCACAAGTCCGGGACATTGTTATATTTACATGATATCAAATATAAATAGGTTATAAATAAAAGCAAATATAAATAGGTTTATAAACCATGGAACTTTCATTTTATTGGTACAAAAGTACATACATGAGTACATAAGATCATACATACATGAGTACATAAAAGGCAGCTAAAAGTTGCCATATTGAACAAAATAGCTGTAGCCTGATGGCTGACACTGACAGTACTACTGTATAATATACAAAATACAACTGAGTTCATAATGAATAATTTAGGTTTAGAATTAGTGGGATATTGACTAACATTCCATGTTCCAAATATGAGAATAATGATAATACTGTATAAGCAAGCACATCATTCCTTATTCAACTAGAATGGTGAATGTATACCATGTGCACAAGACATTGCCAAAAATAGTTAAAGGAGAACTATGGGGTCAGTGTTTTTCCCCATAGTTCTCCTTAGGGTAACGGGAGGACACAGACTAGCGTCCTCCCGTCACCCTAAGCTGAGTATACCGTGAGCTACAGCTCGCGGTATACTGAGACGCCGCAGCCAGAGCTGATCCACTGCATTTGTATACACATTTAAAGTGCATATTTGTCCTGGTGACCATTGTCAATGGGACTGAAAGTGAAGGAAAGTGCAAACGTTTCACCAGAACAAGTATAAATAGGAAATTCTCCAAATGGGACCTTTGTTCCGCTGACAATGTCAAAGAAGGGATTCCTCTCACTTTGGATAGATTTCCTTTCACTTCCTGATGTGTCTACAGGACAGGAAGTGAAGAGAAATCTCCCCCATGGCAAAAACCCTTTCCCTACTATATATGTATTTAAAAAAAAAACAAAAACACAGTTTTGGCTTTAGATACAGTTAAAATACTTCAAAAAATGATTAAATCCATCACCTTAATTTCATAGCCAAAGTGGTAAAACATTATTAATAAACAAATGTATAAAGGTTTGAGCATGCTTTGTTTGGCCTTGTTGGTAACATGTAGTAGTATACGAACAGATCGCACTGTCCAGAGAATGCCAATACTTCAGACTTTATGAATAAGCCTACGGGTGAAACATGTGAGAGGTTGTAGCTGGTTGGGGGTTTGCAGTGCTGGTATTTGCTGCTTTATATACTTTTATTCACTGTTGCACTGGATTTGCTGTGGATTTCAATAAAGTCTGAAGTATTGGAATTCTCTGGATAGTGCGGTCTGTTTGTATACTACTACATTTCAAGGTGGAGATGCACCTATTAGACCAGCACCGGGGGAGTCCTGATGGTGGCTAAGGAATTGGAGCAGTGGGATTTCCTTGGGTTCTACACTTGTCAGTGGCTTGTTCACTAAGTCTGATAGTTAACAGAAACCTATGATGATAAGAAAAAATTGGGGGGAGGGGGGATGGATAAAGT